GGTTTACTTGAACCATGTAAGAACTGTCAGCCTTAGGTTTACTAGAACTATGTAAGAACTGTCAGCCTTAGGTTTACTTGAACCATGGAAGAACTGTCAGCCTTAGGTTTACTAGAACCATGTAAGAACTGTCATGTCAGCCTTAGGTTTACCAGAACCATGTAAGAACTGTCAGTCTTAGATTTACTAGACCCATGTTAATATTTTCAGCCCCAGTTTTACTAGGACCCACTTATATTCATTGCAATCTGAGATTATGAGTTTCATTGTGATAGGATACTAAAACCTGCTATTATTTATTGATCTTATAGATTTTTGGACTTCATCAATGAACCGTTCAGCTACACTTCCTGCTATTGAATTACTTAAAGTATCACCAAACAAAGTATACAAGAGTGAAGCATATGTACCTTTAAATGATGATGACAAACAATCTGTTGTGCAATCTACAACCATAGTACAGAATGTGTCAGTAGCAAGTCCAACATTACAACCTAGAAGTTATACTATGCCAGCTGTTCAACTTAATAATACAACAATACCTGTTAGTTTTACCAACCCTGCATATCGGACTGGAAGCATGTCTAGTCCTCCAGCTAAGTCTCCTCCTGCTAAGTGGGTTGAGCTATCATCGCAGTTTGATTCGGATTCTAATAAACGATATCCTGCTCCTGCTGGGGCACCACCTCCACCACCAGCTAATCAAGTACCTTTGTATTATCAGAACCCTCTGCACAGTAGTTCAAGTGAAAGTTCACCCAGGGTTGAACGCTCCTCGGGTGATTATTATTCTCCGTATGAAGCCACAAAGCAGAATCATTTGCCGCCGTCGTCTTTTGGAATGTATATGAATCAGCTGCCACCGTCTATGTTGGGACCATCGTTATTACCTCCGAAACGCGATGGTACTGCACCTGTAATCCCTTCACCAGAAGATCCTTATAACGTACCTAGTACAGGAAGTCAAAATCCTTGGGTACCTTCAGATCAACCATCTTCATCAGCATTTTCAGCTTCAAATCGATTTATGCTGTCTCCAGGGCCCAGTACAACTAGCAATAGACTTAGTGCATTGTCTGGCAGTTCTCAGCTAGGAGGTAATAGCAGTGTTTCAAGCAGTAACACATCTAGGAATAGTTTTGACAGTACCGGCATATCAACAGTCTTAGACAATATGAGTGGTTCAAGTAATAGGACTAGTTTTACATCATTTGGAAGTGACATGTCAGCTGTATCAGCCTCAAACGATGAAAATAGATCGGATATCTTAGATATCAGGGTGCCATCCTGTGATGCGTCAATTCTAAAACCAGTTAAGTCACCTGTCATACAACGACCAGGTGAAACACTCAAGGCATTTGATCCTTTGAACTCTGCATCCAGTCTTCCTGTGAAAAAGAAACAAGATTGGGAAACATTTTCTGATAGTAATATCAGTGTCAATTCAATGAATGTGGCCAAATGCTCTGCACAAGATAATTTAAACTGGGCATTTACTGGTACGGATGAGAAAAGATCTACTGTGAGTAGTTATACCTCTAGTGTTTTTAGTACTGACTCTGTGTTTCTACCGGAAAATGAAGCGGGATTCTCAGAATTTAATGTTGATGATGTCAATACACCAATTCCACGTGGAAGATCATCAGCTATATCAAGGGACAGTGCCTCTTTGAAACCAAGCGTTGCTAGTTCTGGGACTGTGTTTGACGACCCTTGGAATAGTAATTTGTGGGAGGATTTGATGAATCTGGGGGAAACAAAACACCAACCATCATTCACCAATTCTACTGATGAGTCATCAGCAAATGAAAAATCAGTGCAGACAAATTTAACTTTAGAAAGGAACAGTGATACTTCTGCCACCCAGACAAAAAGAAACACTCGTGGGAGAACATCAAAAAAGAATAAAACACCATTCTCACCAAAAAATAAGGATGGTGGATTGATGATGAGTATCTTTTACCTGGATGATGACCATGCTGCTTTACTAGAAGATGATGAGAAAGAAAATGAACCTGATAAGAGTAATCGAAGAAAATCTTTGGGATTAAAAGAAAAATTCAAGCCATTACTAAGTAAGTGATTTACATTTTGTGTAATTTTATTTGCTGAATTGTTGTTTGTAGATTTTCATATGAAGACTTTAAGTTGCACACTTAAGATCATTCCCAAAGCTCCAGGTTTTAACATCTGACATATCTGATGGTCTGAATATTGTTGGAAATGGGTTTGTAGGATTTCAGAGCAAATCTTCATGAAACTGCATGAACAGAACACTATACATAAAAGTTAACACATAAATTCTAACATGCAATCAAACAGGAAGTGAACACGATAAACAACATTTAGATGTGCTGAGTAAATTTTATTCAATGCTTCCCAAAATTTATTGCAAATGAGGTGCAAATCGTTGCGAACAACCATACCTTGCATACCATGTGTCTTTTTATAGTTGTTTACTGTACCAATTCTTCAAATAAAAATATTATCCTTACATGTAATTTATGAATTCATTTTATGGACATGCCAAATGCACACTAGTATTGTGTTGATTATTATCAATGAAAATGCTAATAATACAAATATATTTTATATTATATTATTTTTGTTTTCTATATTCCCAGAAACAGTATTTGATTAGTTCTAATAGTTGCATGGCACGATGAAATGTATGATTTATTTTAGAGTGTAAATTTACAACCATTGTTTTACACATTGTCTGCTAACACTATTGACTGTGAAAGTGTCAAATACAGTCACCATATTTATTAAATATTTAACATGTTGTCTTGAATTATGTTTAGAATATTGATTTGTAACTTATTCTCTATTTATAGCTCCACCATCAATGGTTTTAAAACGAAGGAAGCAAGATCCAAGTCGGAAAATACAAGCGTACATTATCAAGTGAGTTGCTTCAGTCCAATTTTAGACAGAATCAAAAATTGTTGGCTAATTATTTTAATGTGCCTTCTGTATTTACTGATCTTTGATGGTTTGGGTTTGTTTTACAGGATGTCTACTAACATGAATATCACATTTGGACATTCTGTGGTCAACTTCATCCAGTGTACTAAAGAAAGTACTGAGAGTAATTCAGCCACTGTTATGAGAAATGTCCGACAGTTTATGAATGGCATAAAACATCATTTAATCCAAGAAGATATTGGTTTACAATGTGTACTTAACAGAGAAAAAGCCAAGGTGAGCAATTTGGGTTTATCTGTTGTTTGTATTTGTTTTTTTGTTTCATTGGTCAGCATCAACATAATGACAACCAAAGCACGGAAACCTACATATGCAAATGTTGCATCATTTCTGCTGCACATAGAGAAGCGACATTACCAGCTACTCGTTGAAATTATTGAAGTAAATAATGGTTTGGTGTGTATTTCATTATATTCTGATCTGTTGCTTCCTGCAGTTCATCATGTTATATCCACATTACCACAATGTTTTGTCCAAACATCTAATTTCGTAGTGGAGCTATAGTTTGTTGTCATGGTCAAGATTACAAAAATTCAAACCATTATGAAATTTGTTTCAGCTGGGACCAGATGAATCCCTTGATAATGAAGATGCAATAATTGAAGGTGCTTTACATAAATGTGTGATAAAACCACTGAAAGCACACATCTACCAATGCCTTACCAGAGAGTACAGCAGGTAAGTGATAAAACCATTGAAAGCACACATCTACCAATGCCTTACCAGAGAGTACAGCGGGTAAGTGATAAAACCATTAAAAGCACACATCTACCAATGCCTTACCAGAGAATACAGCAGGTAAGTGATAAAGCCATTGAAGGCACACATCTACCAATGCCTTACCAGAGAGTACAGCAGGTAAGTGATAAAACCATTGAAAGCACACATCTACCAATGCCTTACCAAAGAGTACAGCAGGCAAGTGATAAAACCATTAAAAGCACACATCTACCAATGCCTTACCAGAGAA